TACCTGTTTGTCTCTCTACCTATCACTCTCTCTACCTGTCTGTCTCTATACCTGTCTGTCTGTCTCTCTACCTGTCTGTCTCTCTACCTGTCTGTTTCTCTGTCTCCAGGTGAAGGTGGCCTATGTGAACTTTGTGAATCACTGCTACGTGGACACAGAGGTGGAGATGAAGGAAATCTACACATCGAATCACATCTGGAAGCTGTTTGAGGACTTCACAGTGGACATGGCCAGGGTAACAGCACTGTACTGGTGACTATTATTAATGCAACCACGGAAATGTTGTCAAGTACAAAGTACTCAGTAAATACAGTAATACTGTTACTTCTCACATTTGAATCAGTTATTACTGGCCAGTGGTGGGCTAAGGCTAAGTGAGGGGCAGGGGCAAAAATATAAGAAGGGCACCAGCATGCAGAAAGTACTCCACTGGAAGGGCATCGTAGAGGGCCCTTCATCATGTTTTCTCCACTGGAAGGGCATCATAGAGGGCCCTTCATCACGTTTTCTCCACTGGAAGGGCATCGTAGAGGGCCCTTCATCATGTTTTCTCCACTGGAAGGGCATCATAGAGGGCCCTTCATCATGTTTTCTCCACTGGAAGGGCATCGTAGAGGGCCCTTCATCACGTTTTCTCCACTGGAGGAGGCCTGGAGAGTCCATGTTTGCTGTTGTTTTGGAATATGTGGCAACCCTGAATTCACCAGTGCTGTTGGTCTACACACAGCTGTTAATATGTTTCTCTGATTTCTTGTGTTTCCTTTGCAGGTTTGTAATAAACGAGAGAAACGTCTCTCTGATCCCATCCTGGAGAAATACATCATCAACGTGGTCTTTGACACCATCATCGCCTTCTTCAGCTCCCCTTTCTCTGAAAACAGCACGTCTCTGCAGGTGAGGACCTCGATGCACTTTGGTGACAAAACACCATTCAAATGTCACAATAACATCAGGTGGTCATCTTCAAGCCAGAGCAGAGGTTGGGTTTCAGGTTCTTCAAACTAAAAAATTAATATTATTTCCAGCATTCATACATTTGTATATGAATGTAGCAAGAATAAATATAAATGACATTGGTACTTTCCATAAATGCTGCATAATTTGCTGTATCATTGATGTACCAACTTTACTATGAACAATCTTTACTACCTCGTCTTTAATAAAGTTGAGTTCAACCTATTTTTAGGAAAATATTTAATTCACTTTTACCCAAACATGCAGAAGAAGTAAATATGGTATATTGTAGGAGCGTGGAAACAAACGAGTAGGTGAGTATTCCTTTTGGCTGCACACTTTGTGGCCGTTTATTTCCATCCAAAACACATCACTCACACTTACCTCCTGCTACCCTTAACCCCTCTTGTCACCAGCGTTACGCCCCTTCTCTTAAAGGGCACCCGTGAATTCGGTCCTTTAGTCCCCTACAGTATATCGTATATAGAAGAAATCCTATTCCATCACTGTTAAATCGGAGCTGCTTCATTGGGACTTGTTAAATAGAAATGTCACTTTGGGAGTAAAGTAGAGACACCAAATCTGTGGCAGTCAGTTGTGCTCAAACCCTTAAAAGCTGCAAGACTTTTGTTTACTGGTAAATAAGTGTGGTTGGTTTAGATTTCCATTTCTCTCTCTTTCTGTCAGACTCATCACACCATCATGACTCATCTGCTTCAGTCGTCTGTCCGACTGTTGGACTGTCCCTGGCTGCAGCAGCAGCATCGAGGACAAGTGGAGACCTGCATCAAGACCCTCGCTATGACCGGTAACACACTGTTCTGGCTCCAAGTAACTTACATAAGCACAAACCTGAGGTGCCTAACTTGAGTGTTTAAGTATTTCTACTTTTACTTAAGTAGAAGTTCTGAATACTTCTTCCTCCCACATCGATTGATTATTTCTCTTTCTAGCTCATAGAAAGAGATTCTTCTCTCTGTTACAATGACCTGGAGTTTTGTTATTGTCCTCCTTCAGCTAAGAGTCGGTCCATCTCTCTTCCTCTGGACCTGGAGGCTCAGATCAGCACCATGTTGTCCAGTTCTGCTCTCAACTCTCTGTCCCGCTCCAACCCCAACTACAAATCCTCCTCCCGCTCCACCAGACCCATCGCTCCCAGCAACCCGTGGGACTACAAGAACATCATCGAGAAACTGCAGGTACACAAGACTCAACTCAGAAAGTACAAGTATGAAGACTAGCCCGGGAAACTTCCCACAGGTACAGAACTGATAGAAGCTGTGGGCCGGAATGTTCCAGCCTGAATATGATGGATAAGAAGTATAGAATGAGTCAAGAAGAAAATATGCAAATATGCCCATTTTATTGTTTTATTTAATATATTCAACCAGGGAGTCCTCATTGAGGTTAACAATCTCTTTTTAAAGACAAATCACATCAAACAGATTACAGAACAAAATTATAAAGAAATGAATACAAATTTAAAAGAAATCTGATTAAAGACTTTATCATAGAAACAACTTCAAAATGAGCTGTTTAGAGCTGTTAAAGGTTTAGCATTAATATGCTATTTATTTATTTATATGTTTGTAATGTATTGATATTGTTATTATATTTCATATCTTGTAAAAACTTATTGTCAATAATAATAATAATAATATTTATATATTCAACAAATCAAAGTTTGCCCAAATATGCCAGGAATCTGAGGTCTTGTCAGTTTCCGACCTCTGGTTCCATTATGTTGAGTTACCGTGAACATTATTGTGTGTGTGTGTGTGTGTGTGTGTGTTTGTGTTTGTGTGTGTGTGTGTGTGTGTGTGTTCCTCAGGACATCATCAACACTCTGGAGGAGCGTCTGAAGCCGCTGGTGAACGCTGAGCTGTCGGTGTTGGTGGACGTCCTCCACCAGCCGGAGCTGCTGTTCCTGGAGGGAACCGATGCCCGACAACGCTGCGAGTCTGGAGGATTCATCTCCAAGTAGGTCCAGGTTCTCAGAGTCCAAAGTCTACTGCAGCACTGACACACGGACACGGACATGGACAGAGGGATGATGGGAAAATCTGTTTGTGTTTGTAGGCTGATCCAGCACACCAAAGCGTTGATGAGTGCGGAGGAGAAGTTGTGTATCAAAGTTCTGAGAACTCTTCAGGAGATGCTGATCAGGACTCTGGACTTTGATGAAAAGGTCAACTAACCTACTAACCTACTAACTATTCTAAAGAAGAGAACTACAAGTACCATCCTGCTCAGAGACACCATGTGTAGATGTAGTAAATCTCTAGTCATATGAAAAGGGAGTTTGCCCAATTGTCTCATTTTTTATTAAACAAAAAGGTTATAATAATTCATAACCATAATCATGTAAGATGTAATGTAAGATCATATAGGAGCTTCTAAACATGGAATGATGGCTGTCAACTGTGACACGATGGAGGGTGAAGTGACCTGCTGTCGTGTCGTTTCAGGGAATTTCACTGCGGAAGGTTTTACTGCAGAACTACTTGTTTCCAAACAAGAAGAACAACCTGAAGAACGAGCTGGCTGACCTGGGAGCTTCAGGTACGCTGCTCTCACTCACACCTTCTGTCATCGGTAGCGTCACAGCGTGGAGTCAAGTTCCAACTAGACTACAGGTTGACCAGGCGGGATTAAATCCAACATGCTGTGAAAGAATGTATCAGATGCTCTGAATGTGAAGTTAGAGAGAAGAAGGAACAAGACTTCATGAAAGCATCACTAATAGATTCAGAGTTAACTCATCTTCATTGTTTTACTCTTAACAAACATTGAGATGATAATCGATATTTCAGAATTATTATTATTAGATTTTGTAATTTAAAATAATGACTTTATAAATGATATATTGTATCATAGCTGATAATAACAAGTACATTCTGATCACATTAGTAAAGTAGTTATTAATAGCTTATTGTTGCACACAACAGTTTATATAATATATAAAGTATTTGTTAATGATTATCTTATCATTGGTAAAACATCTATAAACATTTCATAGCTAGATGGACCAGAAACAAATGATAAGCCAATAACAAAGTATCTTATTCATGTTGATAGATGCTTTATAACGTAGTTATTAACAATGTAACGCAGTAATATCTGTCTAAATGTCTGTAGATGCAGTATTAATGAACCATCTAACAAAGTACTAACTAAATGAAATACAATGTAAACATTATTGTTTAATTCATTATCACTTCATTGTGTGTTAATAATTAAAGAAGTATTAACTAAAGATCAATTAACTATCAATTGACCATTTATAAATGATGGTTATTATAACGTGTTATCCCCGACGATGTACTGTGAAGAACTCCGGGGACAATATGTCAGACCACATGTCCCGGTACAGAAGGTGGCAGTATGCACCTTATAATAAACAGGTTACAGCCTGCAATAATAGCAACAGAAGAAGAAGAAGTCATCCCAGACAGGAAGAGGAAGCACAGGTCTGCTCACAGGTGGAACCTTCTTCTGTATTTCTGTCTGTTTGAGGTTAAACTTTGGTGCTTTAATGAGCTCTGAAGCTGAAGATCCTCTGATCAGATGGTGAGCTTCAGCAGGTCGTCTGTTTTCTTCACTCAAATAATGTCAATAACCTACCGACTAATGCCACCAACATGTTTCATACAAGACGTTAGGACTACTTTACATGCAGAGGAACACGGAGGAGAACTAACAGTGATTCAACCGTCTGACAGACTGAGGAACAATATTATTTCATCTCTCATAACTGGACTAAAGCGTTTGAGCAGTCGAGCTCTCAGCCAAACCAAGATGCTTTCTGATTGATTCAGAAGTTAATAACAGGATCTGTGTTTCTCCTAAGACAGTAAATACGTTGTGATATGTAAATATGCAAATGAGGCATTATGTAAACGGTAACTTTTGGTGAATTAAGGAGAAATCTACAGACGTAAAGAGACAAAGTAGTGAAATGAATGTTTTCTTTCCACGAGTCTGAAAGAAGACGAGTTATGGAAGAGAAATAGAACAAAATGATGAGAACTATGTAATAGCTTGTCGCGTCTCGCCTTCATATCTTCAGCTTAAAACATATTTGATTTATTATTTGTGATCAGGCGTGGAGCAGGAGCGGGACTGGGCGGCGGTGGCTGCAGTTCAGTGTCGTCTGGACAGAGAAGGAGGAACCAAACTGTTCACCGATCTGGTCATGAGCTCCAAGAATGACAAGATCTTCCAGGAGTGCATCCAGCTGGCCATCTGTCTGCTGGAGGGAGGAAACACCGAGATACAGGTGGGTCACAACCACAGGGAACCCGTAAAAACAAGAAGCGTTGAACATGAACTCTCAGATAGAAGCTGAAGCTCTGCGATGAACCCGGTGTTTAAACGTTCTCCTGCAGAACTCCTTCTACAAACTGATGATGGGAGACAACAAGTCAGAGAAGTTCTTCAAGGTTCTTCATGACCGGATGAAGGAAGCTCAGACGGATATCAAAGCTACCGTCTCTGTTAATGTTGGAGAGATGACGCACAAGGCCAACGAGAAGGACCTGGAGACCAGTGAGACTGCTTTTAGTTTCATTGTCGGCTTGTTGGCTTTTTCTTTCGTTGATAGTCGTTCTGTTGTCTCCTGTGATTCTGAGAGTTTCACTGTTAACGACATGTGTTAAAGCACTTGTTAACCTCACTGTTAAAGAGTGATATATTATTTGTAACTGCATTTTAACAAGTCAAGAATTGCTGTTAAAATAAAAGATTTCTCTATTTTGAGAAGAAAAGTTGTAATATTTTGAGGAAATATATTATATATTAATATATTTCAAAAAATATTTGTTGCAATATGTCAACTTTTAATTAACAATTTTATGAAATATTATGACATCTTTTATTATTTCATCATTCTCCTTTTTCTCTTATTCTGGAATAATTTAAATACTTATTTTTCCTAACAGCAACCCTGATATTGTTTATAATAATAATAATGTATTGTATTTGGAACAGTACGTTCTCAGCTCAGGTGTGTTGTTGTCTATTTGCATTTCTTTTGCCTCGTGAAATGTTTTATTTTGAAAAGCCTGAGAAACTAAATGTAGGATTCTTTTAGATATTTGAATCTGTTTATTGAATCTAATCTGAGTTCATGAGTTCCTAGACAGAGATCAGAGGTTAGAACCAGCTGAGAGTGATGCACACTTTGAACAGGTGGCTCTGCAGCGTTAGTGCTTCCTGGGACAGGAAGTCATCCGTTGTTGGTCCAGGGCCAGTCCATCGCCCCGGTGACGGGCGCCTCCGCCATACCAGTCCAGCCAGTAGCAGAGGAGAGGGAGGTGGAGATGGAGATGGGACCAGCTGTGACCATCATGAAGCCGATCCTGAGGTTCCTCCAGCTGCTCTGTGAGAACCACAACCACGACCTACAGGTGAACAAATAACCATCACTGAGCCGGGGTTAACGAGAGATCGGCGTTCAGACGGATACCGGTCTCATGTGTGTTCAGTACGGGGCTGAAGTCAGGACATGGTTAGCTTAGCTTAGCATAGAGACAAGGAAAGACTGGAAACGTTTTGACACACAAACTGAAGAAATGTAAAAACGACAAGAACAAGAAATATCTCCCCATAATTCAGTTGGATTGTAGATGAATTTGGTCCATAAATGAAGCTGTAAAACACAAATAGAAGCTGAGCCGATAAAGTCAGTCAATCAGAAGAATAACACGCAGCCTTTTTGACTTTGCGTGTTTCTAGAACTTCCTGCGTTGCCAGAACAATAAGGCCAACTACAACCTGGTGTGTGAGACTCTTCAGTTCCTGGACATCATGTGTGGAAGCACCACCGGAGGCCTGGGCCTGCTGGGCCTCTACATCAACGAATCAAACGTCCACCTGATCACTCAGACCCTGGAGACCCTCACCGAGTACTGCCAGGGCCCCTGCCAGGAGAACCAGGTAGACCGGTTCATCATTATAGAGGCAGGGAGACTCACCATGAACATGGACGCTCAATCTCTTTGTGTGTGTGTTGCAGACGTGCATCGTGACCCACGAGTCCAACGGCATCGACATCATCACAGCGCTGATCCTGAATGACATCAGTCCTCTGTGTCGATATCGGATGGAGATGGTGCTCCAGCTGAAGGTACGCTGGTCCACGTGCACATACAGTGTTGGCTGTCTAAGGTAGCGAATGACCAGATGAATCCGTGAGGTCATACCGAGTGAAGTCAAAGCTTCATGTGTTAAAGCTGCATTCTCTCTA